TGACTTGTTAGCAAATATGAGCCTTATCTCCCCAGCTGAATCTTAGGTTCCAGAGCTCTGTTACCTTCCATCATGCTGGATGTAGGCACTTGATAAGTACTCAGGACCAATGAATGTACTTTCAGTTGAGTTTCCGGGAAATTAGTTTTCCTCTGAATCATGCAGTGTTTGGAATTAGTAAAATACACATACACAAAAAAGCAAACTTCAAAAATCCTTGAAACTCTTGACTTGTAGGTGCTGAGGTAAAACAGACCAACAGTAGTGAGCAGTTGAGTGCTCTTTGTGCACGTGGCCCAGTGGTAAAAGATACAGCCCTGCCCTGGAAGGAGACTGGACATGTGTGTTCTAGTACAAGAGTGTGCATACTGAGTTACAGAGGAGAAGTACAGATTATTCTGGAAACATTGAGAAGGAGCAGTGATCACTGCTGCAGGGAAGGCTTGTGGAGGAGGTTGAATGTGAATTGGTCTTTGAAGAAAGTTAGAACTGGGTGACGTGAAGGAAACATTGGAGAGTGAGTGCATCGCCATCCAGAGCAGAAAGTCCAGTGCCAGAGGAGTGAGCATCTGTCCATGCTTAGGTAGACAAGCTCACGTGTCCAGCTGAGTGATGGATTGAGACAGGCGGGGCTCAGATTGTGGGGCCCTGAGATACTAGGCTAAGGAATTTAAATGAGTCTACAGAGAGCAGGAAGGTTTTTCAAGCAGAATATTAACATGATCAGAGCTATGCTAAGAGGAAGGTGGTTCTGTCCATAAGAGTTTCCTTTAGGAAGTCAGTCACAGTGGTGACAATGGGATTAGGTCTGGGCTGGGGTTGTGGCAGTGGGAACAGAAGTGGGTCAGGTGTGAGGATCAGTAAGTAGAGTCTATGGCAGTGTTTGGAGACCCACTAGATTTCGAGTAGGAAGGAAACCAGAGCAGTCAGTCAGTCTCTTTTGTGTTTAACATTCTTTCTCACTATGGGGTTATGAGGTCTGTTTTAATCTCTGATTCTGAAATGAAAAGGTAAGAGCAAAAACCAGGTCCCTCCTCAATGCTTATTACCAGGAATACACAGTAGATGCCTAATATTTGTCAGAGGAGGGGTCCTGGTAGGTAGCTCATGAATGGGCACGTGGATTTGTTTCTACCAAACAGTGGTCGTAATGGAAATTGGTCATTGATTTGATCAGTCTCTGCTGCGCTGGAAAAGGGCGTCAGTCCACGGTACCATTGATAAGACGTTCTGTGCGGAGAATATTGTTCCTCTATATGCGCAGAGCCACTGGGCAGAATGCCTGGTCTCCAGAAGATGCTTGTGGCTCCTAATGTCCTGATCAGTGAATTGGGAACAGCTCTGCTTCTGGGGTTGGTTTAGGTTTGGAAGCAGCCATTCTACAAGCCCTTTGCCCAGTCCACCTCACACTGATATTTTTCTCCTCAGGTGGGGTGAAGCCTGAGGGCCACGGAGATGACCACGAAATGGTCAACATGGAGTTTACCTGTGACCACTGCCAGGGTTTGATCATAGGCCGGAGGATGAATTGCAATGTGTGCGATGACTTTGACCTTTGCTATGGATGCTATGCAGCAAAGAAATATTCCTATGGGTATGTCTCAGATGTCCTCTAATCCTGTAATTTTTCTCTATGTATTCCTTGGCTATTTTTTATAATTAAAAACCTCTTATTATAAAAAAATTCAAATATACCTACAAGTAAAGAAACTAGTACTAGTACAATGAGTCCCCATAACACCCATTACCCAGATTGAGCAGTTGGGAAGATTTTGCTCTGTGTGCTTAGCTTATTCCTTCCTCTTTTTTTTCTTTGTTAAAATATTTTCAAGCAAATTACATATCTTAAATCATTTCTTTTCTACATACTTCATATCCATCTCTGAAAATTATGGGCATTTCCTTACATTACCAATATGCTGTAACTACAACCTACAAAATTTATCAGTAAGGAACTCTTACATTTTCTGGTTTTCATATACAGTTTTTTGGGGGTTGTGAAATCCTGAAATGATATGTACAACGTTTGTGTTTATTCATTTTTCTGGGTGAGGACACCTACTTACCTTTAAATTTCTAATAGCCATAGCCTTAGAGGTAATGAATGCTCAGCTGTGACCATGCACGTGCTCCCCTGAGGCTCTGTTCTCCTTTTTGGAGCCTCACAAAAGGGTGTAGGCCTTAAAAATGTCTTTCCTTTGCAGCCATTTGCCTACCCACAGTATCACGGCCCACCCGATGGTGACCATCCGGAGCAGCGACCGGCAGAGGCTCATCCAGCCCTACATCCACAACTATGCCTGGCTGCTCTTTGCCGCCCTGGCTCTCTATAGCGCCCACCTGGCCAGCTCAGAGGAAGTGGATGGTGAGAAGCTGGATCCCCAGGCCCGCAGCTGTGCCGTCACCCTGCGGAGCCAGTGCATGCAGCTTGTCGGGGACTGTCTCATGAAGGCTCACCAGGGAAAAGGTGATTGTTCCTCTTGCACAGAAGCCAAACCAAACCAGCCCTCAGCTGCTTGTGAAGGAAAAGCCCTGCAGCAGTGAGACACTCTGCTCTGTTCAGGGGCTACGTCCAGTTTCCCACAAGCAGTGTCCCCCCTTGTGGCAGGACTTTATTTTTAATTCTCAAATGCATTTGAGAGAAACGTTGGTGTTAAAGTAGCAGTTTCTCAAACATACGTACATGAAGATGTAAAACAAATAATTAAACGCTTGATGTCTGTAGACGAAGTATTTCGTATTTGGATCTATCAGACTTAACTTTGCCAAAGGAATTTAGCCTTTTTTTAAACCTGGAATGCAAATCTACTCCCACACAACTGTATTCTAAATGAGAGCTATTTATAACTAAAGCAGTTTGACTAATAAAATATCTAGATGATTTTGACTTTACTGAGGGGAGCTAAGAAGAAAATAACGTGAATATTAAACTTCTGAGACATTTAAATTCTTTGCAGAATAATGGACTCCCCATTCTAGTCAACACGGGGGAAATCAGGCCTGTAATAAGTAGCAGGTGGGCAGTCTCTGTGCTTCAGAGCTATTTGGCTATCTGTTTGCCAGTGGGAATTTAGAAATCTGGTTGAGTGGGGCTACTACGTCACTGTTCATGATTTTCTAAATAGACAGTCCTATTGTATCTATTGTTAATAAAGTATATGTATCCCTCACTATCCAAACTTTTGGTGTGTGAAATCAGAGCTGAATAGATTTAGATAGCCAGGGAGGTTTGTACTGAGTACTCCTTGGTTTAGCTTATAGAGAATTCAGTCTTTTATTTCCATAAAGTAGCAAAGTGGTTTATGGCATTTGCAGGAAATCACCCTTTTTATAAAACTTTTAACCATTCTCTCATTTGCTTCCATGCAGGTCTTAAAGCTCTAGCTCTTCTTGGTGTATTGCCAGATGGTAACTCTACTCCAGGAAATCAAGCCCCACCAGTGATCGTGCCCACCCGAACGGCAGAGGAGCAGCTGGAGAAGGAAGCTGTCCAGGTTGCTGAGGAGCCGGCAGATACAGGCCCTTTTGTGCACTGCAATGTAAGTAATGATTCTTTACTGCGCAAGTTGAACAGAGAGCCTTTCACACGAGGGGCAGAGCAGAGAATTTAAGAGCAGACTCGACTCAGATTACCTGGGTGCTGCTCTCTGCTCTATCAGACCTTGGGCACATTACCACAGTCTCTTCGCTTCAGTTTTCTCATCTGTAAAACGTGGCGATAATAATACCTATCCTATAAGGTTGTTGTGAGGGATTTACATACATTATGTACATTGAGTTAATGTATGTAAAGTGCTTAAAACACTCTTCAGGTAGCTCCATGTCAGTGCCAACTACTCTTTCCTGCCTCCTAGTGGTTTTTATAAGGATTGAATAAGATTATGCACCTAAAAAGATTAGTTCTGGCCCATGATAAACCCATGACCCTTTGGTGCTTGGGCCAGTGCTCTATCCACTGAACCACACTAGCCAGGGCAAGCATGTCCTTAATTTTTTATGCAAAAAGATATTTCAGGTTTATCTTAGGCTTTCCCTGCCTAGAGACTGGAATAAGCTTTCTTCTAGGCCTGTGGTCGGCAAACTGCGGCTCGCGAGCCAC